CCCTTATGAGATGGCTGACACTGTGACTGATGGATTAGCCTCAGCCACTACCTGCTGCTTCCCATTGGATAGAGAAGAGTCAGCCATGGGTAGGGACTCTTTCTCCCCCTCTTCCATCTCCAGCCTCCTCTTTTGATATCTCAGTCCTTTCTCCTAAGCCTCCAGATTTTTCCCAAGGCAGCCCACATCTAGCCTTCTTTCTGAAGTGAATGGGGAATATGTAGCTACCCGAAGAGGGAATATTGGGAGACCTGGAGAACGGAGGGAAGGGACTATCTTTGTATTCCCCCAAGCCTAGCATAATGCCTGAAACCAGACCCATGATTTCATTAATGTGGGGTTTCTATTGCTTTGCTGGAGAAGAGAACTCTTAATACAGGTCAGCATCTGCTGTGAAAGGTCTGCTAAAGAACAAAAGAAGCTAAGAGAATAGGAGAGGAGTTGTAAAAGAAATTAGTGAAAGTTCATTGTGTCTACATGGAACAATGGCCTGGGCTTTCCACACAAATGCGAATCAGAGTCTTAGTTGCCTGGGACACTGAGAGGCACCTGGCCAGGGTCATGCAAGCCAGGATGTTTCAGAGATAGGACTTGAACCCATGGCTTTTCCTGACTTAGACACTGGCTCTCTATCCACTATGCTATGCTACCTCTCACCTGGCACGTAGTAGGTGCTTACTAAATGCTTGTTAATTGACTGAGTCCAGCAAGCATCGATTAGGTACCTATTTTGTCCAAGGCACTCTACTTGGTGGCAGGCAATATGGAGGCATGATAAATTTCTTAAAATCCTTTCTAGAAACTTAGAATCTTAGAGTCAGGTGGACCATCAGGAGTCATCAAGTCTAGGACCTTCATTTTTCCAAGGAGGAAATTGAGGCCAAAAGAGATAAAGTGACTTTATCCCAAGGAATTCCCCTTGGGATTAGAACCCAGATTTCATGCATGCCAGACCATGTACAATAACCTTACAAGTAATACCAGTGGGTTGTTGTTGTTGTTGATATTGATTCTTTGTTCTTGAAGAGGACCAATGACATCAGGAGGGTGATGTCTTGACTTGCAAGTGAATTGGATTTAAGTGAGGCAGAGCTGTGCAAAGTCACCAGCCTCACTCTGTCCTTCAAAGTCATCAGAGTTCAATGGCAAGATATGGGTCAAGATGACTGTCAATGCCCTCCACCAATGGGTAGAAGTTATGAGGAAGACTAGGTTTTAGCTCAATATAAAAAATAAGAGCTATCCAACACTGGACTTGGCTGCCCTATGGGGTAGTGAGCTCCCTGTTACTGCAAAGTGTTCAAGCAAAGGTTAGATGTCCACCTCCTAAGGATGCTGATGAGAGGATTTTTCATTGAGTAGGAGGCTGGACTAGGTAACATCTCAGATCCCTTCCAACTCTTAATTTTCTGTGACTCTGGAATGATATATGTCATCAACTCCCAATTATCTAAATGTGGCTTACCCACACAAATCTGAAATCACAGGCTGGTTTCCTTCTACCTGTCACCATAATTCAGAGGTGCTTTTCCTTAGCATTAGCTGGGTGGTACACCAGACTAGAGCATGCTTATTTGATATATTAGCCTGAGTCAGACATTTAGGGAAGTGAATAGTGGCCCATGTACTGAAAAAAGGAATGAAATAGTTTGCATCCTAAAGCCTTCAAGCAATTTAGAGGGAATCATCTCCTCTGTAGGATTGTTCATCCCATGCCTTAAGACGATTTCTATTTGTGCAGGTAATTGAGAGCCAATGATAGGAATATTCCCCCACCTTCTATGTTGGAAGGCAATGCTCCTGATGGTCATTACATCCTGTATAGGGATGTGACTCTTCGGTCACAGACCAAAGTCCTTCAGCGAAGCAGTCCTTTGAATATCACTACACAGTCATTGTCAGCTGCTGTCACCGTTTTTGCCTGTGGCTCTTCTTTTTTGACTTAAATGGTCAGTCAATCTGAAACCCTTTCCTGGGAAGAATAATGGATTACCAAGTGTCAGGGCTGGAAAGGAACTTTGAACACAGAACAGAGAATGTCAGACTTGGAGGGAAACTAGAATAAGGAATGCAGAAATAGAAGGGAACATAAGACACAGGTAATTGAATATAAAATGTTTAGGCTGCAGTGGACCAGAGCCTTGGACAGAATGCTCAAGATATCACTGATAATCTTGGAAAAAAGAAGTTTCAGTCACAAAGAGGCAGATTTAGGTATGATATAGAGAGGAGTTCCTAAAAATTAGAGCTATCCTGAAATGAAATGCAATGTCAAATGGAAGGCAGTCTTTCCTTTTCCCAGGTGGTTTCAAGCAGAGATGGGATGAGCACTTGCTGGGTTCGTGCTATTGAAGAGATTCTTACTTAGGGCTGAGTTGGCCTGGGTGCTCTCTAAAGCCCCTTCCAGTGCAGAGATTCTGAGGTCCTGGGTTGCTACAACCAAGGAATGTTTCTTAGTCTTCAGGATGCTGATGCTTGTTCTCCTTAGTAACGGCAGGGAATTGCCTAGTGAATACACTTCAGTCACCAGAAAACCCTTTCCCTGGATGGGGCACCAGGTTCCGGCAATAGCCCGAGGCTCCAAGCTGTCTGAGCAAACAAATCCCCTGCAATTGAAAGCTCTGACTTCAAAGAGGGAAGGCTGGGTTGAGGGATACTCTGGGCTTTGATGTGGAGTGGAATTGGAATGAGGGCTTTGGTTTTTCTTGGAAAGGTTTTGATTTCATTCTGCTACTTTTTTTTTTGCCTTTTTGGTGAGGCAATCAGGGTTAAGTGACTTGCCCAGGGTCACACAACTAATAAGTGTCATGTATCTGAGGCTGGATTTGAACTGAGGTCCTCCTGACTCCAAGGCTGGAGCTTATCCACTGGCCACCTAACAGCCCCCATTCTGCTACTTCTGAATGGGTAAATAAAATTCACTTTATTTGGCTTTCCCTCTTCTGCTTGGATTACAGAACCTTGGAGTTGGAAAGGATGTTAGAGGTCATAGAATCTAGGATCTAGAGGAGGAAGGGATGTCAGAAGACATCTAGCCCAATCCCCTCCTTTTTATAAATGAGGAGACTTAGACCCAGGGAAATGGAATGATTTTCTCAAGTGACAGATACAAGAGATCAGAGGCAGGATTTTAACTCAGGGCCTCTGACTCCAGAGACAATGCTCTTTCCACAGTATCATGCTGCTTCCATGGGGCATTTGTCTGATCTATACATCAGTGAGAATCTTCTCTGTAACTTTCTCAACAAAGAGTCATCCATTCTCTTCTTGAAGGCCTCCAATGAGAGAAAAGTCTCCCCTTTATCCAGGGCATGGCAGCTTTCATCAGTAGGTAGTTTTCATCAATGTCAATGTCAACATCAATGCCAATTCAGCAATCATGTATTAAGCACCTAGCATGTGCTGGGTACTGGGGATACACAAAGATAAATAAACATTATGCCCTGCCTTCCATGTTCAGAAGTTGCTGCAAGATGACAGAGGGTATGGTCAGTGCCACCAGAGAGGTACATCATGGGATGAGAGTTGAGAGGAAGGAGTGGCCCCAGCCTACCTGTCCCTATCCATTATGCCAGGGAGGGGATAGGATGAGCAACAATGACAGAAAGGAAGCAATCAAAGCTTGCTGGCCACCACCCACTTGGGTAGTCTTCTCTGGAAACGTCCATAGGATGCTCCCCATTTCTAGTCTTTATGGCCTTGGTATGGTCCAGGCCTTCAGGGAATTCTGGCGTGCCTTCTTACAGTTAGAAAATCTCTCTCATATGTACAAAATACCTATGGCAACATTTAACATTTCTCAACTTTAAGGTTCAGGAAACAATTTCTGGGTAATTTAATCATTTTATTAAGAATGCCAATGTTTTAATAAAAGGATGGTCATTTGGCTGTATCTCTCTTAGACCAAAGACCACCATGGCAGTGGTCTCACTACTTATATGCCCATTAAAAAAGGGGTGTTCCCAAGGGTGGCAATCAACTCTGACTCTTTAACAATTAATGACAGAATGAATATTACAATGAGGAGCTGAACCTATTCAAATGACCTTTAAATTATGTCATTTACCTTTAAATTACCCTAAGCCTTGGGCAATCTATTCAAAGAATTTCTCCCCACCCAACCTGAGTAGAGAGGCTTCCCCACCTGGGTGGGGTAAAATTGTTGAGAAAGTTATTTCAATCTCATTATCAGTAATGTCCTTCAAGAGACTGAACTTTTGAAATCAGGGCTTTAGAAAAACAAGGGAACTCTGGATCTCCCCAAATCATCAGTTATTAATAATCATTTCTCTCAGCAGATCTTGTTGTAATAGCAAAGAACTAGAAACAAGTAGATGCAGTGTGGTGCATTAGGAGTCCTGAGTTCAAATCCTGCTGTAGACATTGACTAGTAGTGTAAACATTGGCAAGTCTCTCTGCCTCAGTTTTCTCATATGTAAAATGAAGGGGTTAGACCAGATGGATGCTAAGGACCTTTCCAGTTCTAAATCCACAATCCAATGAATTGGAAAATGGCCAAAGAAATTATGTCACCTGGATGCAATAGACCATTACTATGCCATAAGAAATGATGACTGTGACCAGTTCTGGGAAGCATGGGAAAAAAAAGATCGATTGGGGCAGAGTGAAGTAAGCAGAATCAGGAAAACAATATATACAAAGGCTACAACGATGTCAATGGAGAGCACAGAATCAGCCACAAAAATTATAACGATGCTCGGATCACAGTGACCAAGCTTGGCCCCAGAATGAGGGGGAAAATTCCCTTCCCTTATTTGCAGAGATGGGGACCTCAGACTAGAATGCCTGACTTGGTTGATATTTCAGTTATTTTTATGATTTTTCTCTCTTTCCTTTTTCCTTTTATTTATTAGAAGGGACGGCTCTCTGGCAGGGCAAAAAGGGAAAGGCCTATTGGGAAATGAAGGTGACAATAAACATGAAAGGTAGAAATAAAATATTTAAGCAGATTTCCAACTTGTGGCATCTCCGTATTGCAGGAGAAGAATGTGGAGGAGCTCCTGGCAGTGAAGCTGACATTACAGGCCGACCTCGAGGTATCCATCCGGCGAATTGCTGATCTGCAGGCTGCCCTGGAAGACATGGACTCCTGTCCTAGTGATGACAGGTAACTGATGGGCTCCCTTTCCCAGAAAGTCAGCAGATCTCACTTATCTCTGGTAGGCCTGGGAGGCCTTTGAGGTGTGAGCGAGGAAACAATTCTCATTCACATTGTCTTGGAGCTGTGTAACATGGGTCAAGAAGCAAGGTTCTCTGGATGGTGAGGTGGTAGCTCAATGGCTTGAGGGAGGAGAGGGATGAAGGGCATGGTCCATCTCAGGACCATTCAGGCCATCCCACAAACATCACAGTCAGAGTTCCAATACTATGGAGCTACACTTATGGGGGTGGTAGGGTAGAATGGGCACTGATGTTACTCTTAGAGAGTCTGGGTTCAAACCTTGCCTTTGCTACTTCCTACCAATGTGACATCTCTCTCCGTCCCCACTCTGGTCTACCTGCATCCCACTCTGGGCCCATATCTGAGAAGCTCCTAAGCACATAAATGACTTTCTGGCTCAGCAAGAATTCCTTTCATTTCAAGGTCTCCTTGTGGTGCTGCTCTGATTGCCTGCCTAGCTAGGGATCTGCTCCCTTGGCCAAGTGTCTTTGGCTTCTAAGCACTTCTTGGCTCGTAGGTCTGAGAACTGGTGAGATGCTAAGGAATTGTCTCAGCCAGGGTCCTACATGATCATGGCCACTGAGGTCAGGGAGGTCAAGCATCTTGCCTGAGATCATCCAGCTGATCAATGGTGGGCCTGGGACTAAAACTCATCCAGAAAGATCTATTGATCAGGTGCTAATTATGTGTAAAATGACTAGGGGGCCAGCAGTTTGAGGGATCAGGAAAGGCTTCCTCCCACTCTCTCATTCCCCTATGTCCAGTTTGTAACCAATTCTTGTCAATTCTACCTTCCCAACACCTCTCACAAACCACCCCCATTTTCTGGCCTGTAACACTGCCCCCATCCTGGTGCAGATGCTCATCACTCCTCCACACTATTGCAGTAGCTGCCGCTAGTGGGTTTCCTGCCTCAGGTCTCTCTCCATTCTAGTCCATCCTCCTCCGTTTGGTTGTCAAATGGCTAAGTCAACCCTAAAGCACAGGGTTGACCATGTCACCCCCACCCCTCATCAATAAACTCCAATGTCTCTCTGTTATCTCCAGAATCAAATACAAAATTCTCTGCTTGGCTTGCAAATCTCTTCATAAGCTGGCCTTGTCCTATTTTCCCTAGTCTTCTTTTTTTCTTTTCTTTTTTTAGGCAATGGGGGTTAAGTGACTTGCCCAGAGTCACACAGATAGTAAGTGTCAAGTGTTTGGTCTGAGGCCAGATTTGAACTCAGGTCCTCCTGACTTCAAGGCCAGTGCTCTATCCACTGTACCACCTAGCTGCCCCTCAGAGTTTCCTTAGTATTCTTGCACCTTATGCTCCCACCTCCATGTTCTGAGATTCAATGACACTGGCCTCCTTTCTGTTCCTCATACAAGACCATCTCCTGACTCTGAACAGTTTTATTGGCAGTCATCAGGACCCAGCTAAAATCCTGCCTTCAGCAACAAACTGTCCCTGATCCCCCTCAATACTAGTGCCTTCCTCCATTGATTATCTCCAATTTATCCAGTATACAGTATGTTTGTACTTAACTTGTTTGCTTCTTACCCCCCCCCCACTCCCATGAGATAGACAGCTCCTTGAGGGTAGGGACTAGCTTTTGGCTTTTTTTGCATCCCTCGCACTCAGCCCAGTGCCTGGCACATGGTAGGCACTGTATAAATGCTTGTTGTCTTGACTTGGCTTCATGAAGAAATTGGTGCTTGACCATAGAGTCTTGAAGGAAACAAGAAATTTGGAGAGGCAGAAGAGAGGAGAGAGTACATCCTGAGTGTGGAGACTGGACATGGCAGAGACAGAGATGAGTCATGGAATGTCATGTATGAAGAATCCAGGATGTTCTGTATTCTCAGTGGCCCTCCATCTCTGACATTCTGTGCTCTAAGGTGTCCCCCCTCTTCCCCAACAAATCCTTCTTCTGTATCATAGTGCAAAGAGCACTGAGTTTGAATTCAGCACACTTGGGTGCTGAATACACACATGCATGCATACAGACATACATACATGCATACATATATGTGTGTATGGATAGATAGATAAATGGATGGATGATGGATGGATAGATAGATAGACAGACGGATGGATGGACCAACAGAGAGAGAGAGAGAGAGAGAGAGAGAGAGAGAGAGAGAGAGAGAGAGAGAGAGAGAGAGAGGAGGCTATGGAAGGTAACCAGAAGGGGAAAGCACTACCAGCTAGGGAAGACCAGGAAAGGCTTTCTGCAGAAGATGGTGTCTGAGTTGAGCCTTGAAGCAAGCCAACAAAGCTAAGAGGTAGAGGCAGCACGGTCTAGTTGAATGGACATCTGTAAAATGAGTGATTTGAACGTGTGTGCATTGGGCCAGATGGCTACCTGAGTTTCCTTCTAGTTTTCCAGTTAGGTAAATCTGTGATTTTCTGATCCTGTGACCAGGTGACTTGTGCATGCTCTTTCATCTCTCAATCCCATCAACTTTGGTGCAGGAAGCATTTGAGCTGGAAGGAATCTTAGAGATTATTTTAAAGATGAAAACAAACGAGCCAACAAGCCAAAGTCCAGGGAAGTCTTGCCCCAAGTCCCCCAAGGAGTGAAGGTTAGATCCTTAGTGAGGTAGAGCAGGGAGGGTTAGGGAAGGCTGGGATCATTTCAGATGGGCCAATATGGATGGCACCGATGCTTTGTGTCTCTCCTTTGGGCAGGGATGGTTAATTCTGTGCTCTTGTTCCAGAGATAATCAATCCCTCCTGAAATCCTCTGTAAGCTCTCAGCCAATGGAAAGCGTCAGATCCTGGCTGAGTTTGTCCCCAAGCCCAACTCTGTCCAGGTCCAGCCTCAGAGGGAGAAGTCCTTCACAGCAGTCGGCCAATGGTAGCAGAGTTCTGGATCAGAGGTAAGAGACTGTCAACGGTGGTTGGGGCCGCTGACACAAGGGGACCATCAGGGCCCTCCTGGGTTCTGCTCTTTCCCCTGATGCCCCAGCCTCACTGCCTCAAGCCCAGAACTGGGTTATCTTAGTCCCAGACAATGCCAGTGTGGAGGCAGAACGTAATTATAAAACATCGTAATATAATAAGTGTGATGTAATAATTATCTTATGAAGCATCAACTATAACATCATCATGATAAAATGATAAATTTTCATTAAAATCATAACTCCTGTTTCCTCCATATGTCTGACCTCCCCCTCCTGTCATCCCTGGCTTTCTTTGAGTCTCACCTCAAATCCCACCTTCTGTGGGAGACCTTTCCAGTCCCCCCAGCTTCCTCCCTAGCTTGCCTTCCATTTGTTCTGTATAGAGCCCAGTATTTTCTACTTATCTTCACATTTATCTTCTCTTCCCCCTGCCCCCCCCCCCCGCCTTAGAACGAATGCTCCTTTGGGGCAAAGCCTGTGTCTGGCTTTCTTTGTATTCTGAACTCATAACACACTGCTTAGAATAAAGTAAGAACTATAATATAGTAAGTGGTATAAGGAATGCTTTCTGACCAACTAACAGACTGATTTCTTCCCTCCAGTTCACAGAGCATTTCCTTTCACAATGACCCTGTAGGATAGACAATCCAAGCATTATTATACCCATTTTACACAGAGATAGGCAACAATTTAATGGAGACCATCAGAGTCAGTGCTGGAATGAGTTTTTAGAGGCCATCTAATCTAATCTCGTTAAAAAAAAAAAAGACCGGTCTTTCTATCTTAGCCAGGCTGAAAGGTTAGGAGCAGCTAATGAGCTTGATGCCACCATTGAACAGTTCAGAAGCTGGGCTCATTTGACCCTCCTTAGGGAATCTGGTGGCCTTCTGCTCCGGGGGCCCGCCATACTAAAGCAGACATTCAGTGGGCACAGCCCATGGCGGCTCAGAATTCCTCAGCTTGAGAGATCCGCCAGCCTCAGTCTCCCCAGTAGCTGGTATTATGGTCATGGGCCTCCACACCTGGCTCCAGTCTCTTTCTAGAAAAGAAGGATAGAACAACGGAGGCTCAGGAGAATTCAATGACTAGCCCAAGGTCACACAAAGTAGTAGGTTGCAGAGTTAGGCTTTGAAAAAGGTCTCTGGCTCCAACTCCCACATGTTCACTGCTTTGTTTTTATCATGCCCATTTTGCAAAATTTGAAACTGAGTATCAGAGGGATGTAAATGACTACTTGGTAGCAGAGCCACACCACAGGCCCATCACTCCTTCCAATAAAGATTGTGTGGGGGCAAAAGTCTTCTTTGTGACTCACTAGAAGCAACAGAGGAGAAGAAAATTCCATTCGTTTACCAGTTGTGCATTGCCCAGTGCCCAGCAGTGTCTGACCAAATCTTCCACCATCAACTACTCATTTACTTGTTAGCCAAAGGGACTGAGCCAAAAAGTAGCTTGCACCGTGCACCATCACACCCTTTTTGTTTGGGGGTAGAGGATGTAGAATGTTCCAGCTGGAGGCAACCTTACTTGGAGGGAGGACGCTGACCTCTGGAGAAGGGAAGGGGCTTGTACAAGGCCCCAGGCCAGAATTCAGGCCCAGATCCTCTGACAACAGACAGATAGACCCAGGCCCCTTTCTCACCATGGAGTTTTCTAACAGCGGCCTCAGTGTGGTGAGGATATCAGGAAAATATTTCCCAGATGGACTTCTAAGTTGCTATTGTCCCCAAGGCTTTATACTTTACTTATGCCAGAGGTGGCTGTCTGTTGCCAGGTGATCCTCTTGGCTCACGCTGGAAAACATCTGGGGAGAAACTAGAAACAGAAACTAGGTACTGGGCTGGCTGGGTGGGTAGGGAAGGAGGAAGGTGATGAGGCATGGCGGGATGTTTGAGAAATGTGCCTGGTATGGTGCCATTGTAGGAGATGGAACAGAAGAAGAAGGAGAAGAGGGAAGGAGGAAGAGGGGAAGAGGAAAAAAGAAGGAGGAAAAGGAGGGAAGAAGACAGAGGAGGGGAGGAGGAAGAGGGAAGGAGAAGGAAAAGGTGGAAGAGGAGAGGAAGAGGAGAAGGGAAAGAGGAAGGGAGGAGGAGCAGGCAACATGTTGACTGTTGGTGAGAAAAGACATGTCGGTGGCTCAGATGAGTAACTGTCACTGTCTGAGGAGTCACTGGGGTCAAATGATGGGGGCTGTGGGGTGGAGGTTATATGGGGGGAATGAGTGACGAGGGGTGAGGAAGACCTGGGTTCTAATCTTTCCTCAGACACTGGGCAAGTGACTTAACCTCTCTAAGACTCAGTTTCCTCATCTGTAAGTTGAAGATAACAATTCCTCCAGCCCTTGGCTCACAGGGTTATTGTGAAGATCATATGAAGAGTGTCAAATGCTTTGTGTATGTTAATGTGCTGTATAATTGCCAAATGTTGTTATTCCATGCTGGGTGTGGAGTCAGGAAGACCTAAGTTCAAACATGGCCTCACTTCTGTCTGCCTCAGTTTCCTCCTTTGTGAAATGAGAAGAATGCCAGGAGCATTTGCTTCATGGGGTTCTGGTGATACTCCTATGGCACTGTGTACACGAAGAGGCCCAGGACATTAAAGTAGCTTGCCTGAGCTAATGCAGGTCACAAAGGTCAGAGGAAGGATTTAAACACAAGACCTCTGACTCCAATGCTCTTTCCCCTGTACCTTGCCAAGTTTGAATCTCATTTCTGACCATGGCTGTGTGACTACAGGCAAGTCCCGTAACCTCTCTGAGAGCCTGTGATATGAGAACAGTTCTAGTCCAACAACCTTCTAGTTCGTTGTGAGGAACACATGAGGAAAAGGAGGGAGAGTATTTTGTGACCCTTAAAGCCCAGCAGAGATGTCAGCTGAGGAGAACAATGGTGGGGACTCTCCCTTCATCCCCCCTGTTTTATACTTGGCCTGATACTGTTTTTGCTGCTGTTTATTCTCTTCCTCCTCCCCCTCTCCTCCTTCCCTCCTCCTCCTCTTTCTTCTTCCCCTCTCTTTCCTGCCACCCTTTCCTCCTACCTTCCTTCTCCTCCTCCCTTCTCCTTTTCCCTTCCTCTTCTCCTTCTCCTCCTCCTTAACTCCTCTTTCTCATTCCCTCCTCTTCTTCCCCTTCCTCCTCCTTCCCTCTATCTCTTCACCCTCCTCCCCTCCTCCGTATCCTCCTCCTCCTTCCTCTCTCTCTCTTCCTTCTCCTCCCCTCCTCTTCCCTTCCTCCTTGTCATCCCCCCATCTCTTCCCTTCCTTCTCCTCCTCCTCCACCTTTTCCTCCTTCTGTTCCTTCTACTACAATGAGACCATGCTAGGCACACTTATCAATCACCCTGTCGTGCCTCACACCGTACCATTATTAAGCATCTCTGTGGCCCAGATAGCTCCATTTCCTTCCAAACCTAAGTCACAGAATTAACATTTTCTGCAACCACCCCATGAGTAGCTGGCTGCTATCACCTGCGCTTTCCAGTTCTCTGCTCCTGTTCACTTTGGCCAAACATAACATGGCTGGGAAGCTGGCACCTGAGCAGGCCTGAGGAGAAATGTGCTCTTCAAAGGTCCCATCTGGCTCTAAATGGCAACCCTTTGGGGGAGGCCTGAGTGCCATCTGCTCTGGAGCCTGGTCACAGGCAGGCTCTGCAGCATTCAAGGGGCTCATGGGGTTCACTGCTATTTTGGGGTCTGACTCCCCCTTCATCAAGCCCTGGGCTTAAAAGTAATGTGACTGATAGGATGATTTTATATTCAGAGATCATAGCATCATTGCCTCTTAGACTTGGCAGACTCTTGAGAAATCATTTTAATCCAACAAGTACATTTTACTGATGAAAAAACTGAGAGCTTGGGAGAGACTTAGGGGCACACAGGGAATGATGGGCCCAGGGCTTCCTACCTCTCTCTCTGGTGTTAGTTATCCCATGTATATTGAAGGTGTGACTATATTTTATGATGTATAAAACATGATACAAGATTTTGTATATATATATATATATATACACATATATATATATACACACACACACACATACACACACACACACACCCACACACACACATATATGTCTCTCTCTCTCCATACATATATATGTATGTATATATATATATATATATATATGTGTGGGTGTGGGTGTGGGTGTGGGTGTGTGTGGGTGTGTGTGTGGATGCGTGTGGGTGTGTGGGTGTGTATTTTTTTTAATATGACCAATATATTTTAGGACTAAAGTGAGCAGATTCTAGGTATCCTTGGATAATTCACTTTCCTTATCTAGCCTCAGTTTTCTCATTTGTGAAATATGGAGATTAGACTTGACTTCCAGGGACCTTTCCTGTTCTATGATCCTTGACCTTTAAATAAAAATTAGAGGACTGTGATAATGGTCTTCAAGTATCTGTCAATTGTCAATAATAAGTCAATTATTCTCTCCATGCCTCAGTTTCCTCATTTGCATAATGAAGATATGAATCCCTGTGGTATCTACCTTAGGGTTTTTTGCAAGTCTCAAAGGAGAATTATTGATGGTGACATTGCAGTTGTTGGTATGGGTTTCCCCTCTCTTGAGCTCAGCAGTTGAAGGCTGGGTGACCACATCGTTAACAGAATAGGTGCTTTAAGGTTTACAAAGTGCTTTGCAATTATTATTTGTTCCTCACAACAACCCTGGGATGCTATGATTATCCAATTTTGCAGATGAGGAAACCGAGGCAGACAGAAGTTAAGCACCTTGCCCAGGATCACACAGCCTGAAGTAGGATTTGAACCCAGAACTTCTTGACTCTAGGTCCAGTGCTCTATCCATTTCACCACTGAGATATCTTGTAAGAAGGAGGTGATGTGGTATTGGGGAAAGAGAACTGGGTTCAGAATCAGAGGGCCTGGTTCCAATCCCAGCTCTGCCTCTTATGATCTAGGTGACCTTGGGCAGGTCATTTCTTGGGTTCTCTTTTGTTCATCTGTAATATGAGGGGGT